CTTCTAACTTTTTTCCTCTGCGCTCCAGGCCTGCATGCGCTTGTGAGCAGAGCTTGTCGTCCACCGCGCTTGAGAGCAAAATCGTCAAGTTTCCAGTGCAGTGCTGCTTCGAATGTGACCGCTGGTGCTGGTGCATCATGTTTGTTCCGGATAGACAGGACAACCTTGGCATCCAGCTAGCAGAGCACTTGTTCGAGGCGGGGTGTTTCATCACGCTGGTATTTGAGCACTCTGCAATATGAACTCGTCTCTAGGCTTTTTTTCTGGGGAAATCTCTGCCTGTGTTGTCAAGCCAATGTAACGTTCTTCAGGCCTCAAGTCACATGTAGCCGCATCGCCATCTGCAATGCATGGAAGCTCCAGAGGTTGCAGTGCCTGTTGCTGAAGACCCGGAGCTTCCAGAGCTCCCGGAGGGTGTGCGCAAGGAAGTCTTGTCAGAGCCGACACAGAACTACTTGCGACCAACTGCAGGCGATGAAGTTCACATTCACTTCAGAGGATGGTTGCCAGATGGAACAGAGTTTCACAACACCCGATCCAAGCCGGGTGACTTTGATTTTACGCTCGGGGAAGGGGAGATCAATAAGGGCCTCGACCTTGGGATTGCAACAATGTGCAAAGGGGAGCGAGCAAAGTTTACCCTGAGTCCCGAACTTGCATATGGCGAGGGCATACCGGGCAAGATCCCACCGCATGCAGTCTTAACTTTCGAAGTTGAGTTGCTCTGGTGGAGGAGAAAGAATGCCTTGACTCCAGATGGAGGAGTGGTGAAGGTTGTGCAGGTTGAGGGCGATGGCTGCAAAAAACCCTTTCCTGGCTGTATTGTGAAGATACGTTATACTGGATACGCAAATGGAATCGAGTTTGCCGCGAGTTCAGATGACGGCGTGGAAGCTGAAGTCACTGGACTTAACGCTCTGAAGCTGCCGCAGAGGACGTGGCAGATTGTACTGGCCTCCATGTCCCGCCATGAGCATGCGGTTGTAACGCTGACGCCGCCATACGCATATGGTGCCGACGCCATGTTTGACTCGAAGGTGCCTGGCAACTCCACGGTCAGGATTGACATGCAACTGCTAGATGTTTTCCTGGTGAGCGACTGCAGCCTGTTTCAGAGATGTGGGGAGAGGCATTTTCCACGGGTGACCAAAACGCAGATGTCCGATGGTGATGCCACTGGCACGAAGCCCAACAACTTGTCCCAGGTCACAGCACTTGTCAACGGCACCTTGTCCGGAGAAGTGTCTTCATGGGCTTTTGGGGGGAGAGCTTGCAGTGGACCTGTGCTGTTGCAGCTTTTCCCAGGCAAGCAGGTGACATGGCAGCTAATGGCGGGCAGGCGATGTGAAGCAGTGGAGTGTGCAGTATTGAGCATGACCAAGGGCGAAAAGTCCCTTGAATGAAGCAGAGTGCACGTGTGAATCAGCCAGGGTTGTGTATCAGTAGGTTTCTGGATCACCAAGTTTGTTGATCAGTAGGTGCTTGGGGCTTTTGCTAGCCACTGCAGCACTCCAGGTGCCGCATTGCAGTGGAGGATGCCACCATGTGTCAGGATGAAGAGCTTGGGCTTTCTCCCGTCGGCGCAGTGGATTTCAATTTCGAGGTTGAGCTGATCGACTTTCAAAGGCTCCTGCAACACTTTTGAGGAATACTGTGGCACCGCAGCGCTGCCAGGACTCCAGACACCTGCAACCTCGTGCCGTCGCAGAGGATTGAGAAGGGAAGGGTATTGAAGCAACAGGGCGCGGCTTTCATGAAGGCCAAGGACTTTCGCCGCGCCTGTTGGGTGTACCTTGGACCAAGCAACCCCACAGCATCAGAGCTGCGCTGTGCTTTGTCTTTGAGCTGAGGTACAGATCCGTGCAGGATCTAATGGGCTACGTCGATGATTGGCCAGAGGTTCCTGCTAGATGCCTGCAGAGGGGCAGAGAGAGAGAGAGAGAGAGATAGAGCCATTTTGGCTCAAGTCTCCTGCCGCTCTTGTGGTGCTTGCCGCAGGGGCCCCAGGGCGGCCTGTGACCTCAGTGGAGGGTAGTCTCTGCTGGGGGCGCAGGTGGACGTCCCCGGGGGGGGAGGCTTGTGCAAGTCGGGCAGCTGTGTCTCAGCCAAGGGGGCTAACAAACCCTACACGTAAAGGCCCTGTGTCGTCCTGCCTGCAACCTGCTCCGCATACCAGCCTTTGCCGAGCCTTTGCCTTGAGACCACCTTTGGCGGCCTGGTCGACTTACTTTGCGTGAACCAGCCCGGGGCCCGGAACGAGTTCACCGGTGACTACGGTCCAGTACGGCGTCCCTATGTCGACTCGCCCTGCCCATGCGGAAGCTGGAGAGGAGGTCGCGAACCAAGACTCGCCCAGCAAAAGAACCCGCTGGGATGTTCAAGCGCCTCCTGCACATGGCCAGACTGGAGCTTCTCAGGCGCCGCTAGCAGGAGCACCCATCACTCTCGAGCAACTGACAGCGCAGCTTGCTGCTGCCTTGACCCCGGTCACAGGAGGTATGCAAGAGCTCACCCAAAGACTGGTTCGCATGGAATCTGAGGTCACGGAAAAAGTGGGGTCTGCACTCGAGCTGATTCGAACAGTTGATCAACGTCAAAGGTTATGGGCTGCCAGCTTGAAGAAATGAGAGGGAAGGTTGAGACTCAGGAGGCCCAAGCGGAGCAGCGAGACCAGAACATCCGAGATATCCTCCGACGTCTTGATTCCCTTGAAGCGGAAAAAGGGCGCTCGCCGGTTTGGAGACAGATGCAACCTGGGGCTGGGGAAGAAGATCGGGGACCAGCAGTGATAGTGGGCGGATGGAACGACGACACGGAGGCCGAGGAAACTGCTTTGTGCCAGGGAAACAGAGAGGTTTCGCAGTGGTCCCGCTTACTTGCTTGGAGGGCGAGACGCCGCAGACTATGATGAGACGGGCGATTGATGCAGTGGAAGCCACACGTAAGCTCAGGGCGAAGTCAGGCCACGTCGGCAAGGATGGCAAGGATCTTTTGGTTTGGGCGGCGGTCTCCCAGCCGCCTGAAGTTCGGCGAAGGGCCAGATTTGTGGCAAAAAGCAAACGAGCAGTGCTCGAGGGCCTGGAGCAGCAGAAGAGTGGTGCTGCCGTTGGCTCCCTGCAGGTCAGAGCAGACTACCGCAAAGGCTGTGTCACGATCGATGGCCGGAGAATCGCTGCTTGCTCCATGCAACCCACGACTGAGGGTGTCCTGTCCTGTGAGTTTGGGTGGGTGGACGCTGCTGCGGTCTGCTCTTGCACCCATGAGCCGATCCAAGCTTTCACTGAGCGGTGGCGCGGCCTGGTGGAGGAGATAAACTGACAACATCTGCCCGATGCTGACCCGGACTTGGAAACCTTTTTGGCGACCCAAGCTGGACTGGTTCGTGATGATATGCATTTTTTTGAAGCCGGCCATTCTGGACTCGGGAAACTACTTCCTGAAAATACTGGCTTCTCGGATTCCCGCTCTCTAAGAGAACAGGAACATGTCGACATTTCTTCGATGCCGTGGGAAGCAGGACAGATCTCTCAGCCTGCAACCCTTTACAGACACAGTGTGGCAGTCATGCACCTCCACTCCCCTTTAGCACGCACACATCCACCAAGCAGCGTTATGACCCTCTTGATGATTTGCCATGGGGGGTGCGTTTCAAGCTCCAGCCCCTTTTCCACTCACAAACCAAAACTACATCCGCAACCGTGCCCGCCGCCTCCAAGCTTTACAGTTGCACACACCAGTGAGAGCAGTCTGCTTTGCGCATGTGACATGCTACACAGCTGATTGCGGATCCAGTTGCGACAAGTTTGCTTTTCTCATGACTCAGTTCCAGACGATGCCTGATGCACAGTGACCAGACGTCCAGTTGTGACAAGTTTGCCTTTCTCATGACTCAGTTCCAGATGATGCCTGATGCGCAGTGACCAGACGCTACATAGTACCATCTGCATGACACCCTGTTTCCGTGCACATAGCCTGCGCCCGATCCCTGAGACCTGATGAGTAGACCCGCCTTACCACTCCCCAACCTGGTGGACGTAGCCCTGCTGTAGAAGGTTCTGTCGGCCAAACGCCGTAGCCTTATCACACATGGCAAAGTTGACACCTGGTGGCAAATGCGCCCTTCCTGCTGGTCATGATGAGCGAAGCCCAGCGATGGGCAACACAGTGGGAGATGCAGACAGAGAACGTCACCGTAGAGGAGATGATGTCCATGGTGCAAAACCCTCCCTGGCGTAGATCGCGACGGGGGGAAGAACCGGGAATCATCCGCTGGAACCTTGAGAGGAGGTTTGGGTACTATGTCCCATGAGTCGAGCACCACAGCCACTGTGAGAACTTTCCCCTCAAGGGAGGCATGGCGGGCCGATCGAGCCAGCCGCAGCCCGGCCCCGCGACGACGGGCAAGAGGAGAAGCGTTCGCAGATGCTGCTAGGGGCCCAGAGTCCAGCACGCCTGACAATCCGAGCCGGGCAGCCAGGCCAGAGATCGACATGCGATGCCTAGATCCACACCTACTGCAAGGTCTGCTCTTGCTGCTGATGAATTTGCAGAATGCCCTGACCCAAGTGCAAGACATGCTAAGAGAAATACTTGAGCGTTGGTTACCGGCCCCCGACCCAAGCCATGGACGGCTAGTCTCTCCAGAAGGGTGTTTTGAGCAACGCCCAGAAGGTGAGGAAGAAGAGGCGGTGGAGGTGGATGAGCCAGAAGGCGAAGAGGAATTTATGGCCATGATGCAGGGTGGACACAACATTGTCAAGACCAACAAGGCCAAGGATGCGGGGCAAATCTGGCGGCCGATCACGGCTGAAGAACGCCGCGAGCTGGTGCAAATGCTCAAGGACAACTTGGAGGCGCAGCGAAACGCGTCTCCGACCCTCTTCCTCCTGGCGATGTTACAAGCGCGGATGGATGGTGCATGCCCGGGAGGGGAAAGCTCGGAGGAGGAAGAGGTCACGGTCGGGCAACTGAGACCGGGCCTAATTCGCTGGCTCAGCACTACACCGCGCAGCATTCTGCCAAGCAATTCCAGTGCTCCTTAAACTTGTTGGCAAAGCGCATCCAGCTCCGGCCGCGGCACAGGAGCAAGGAATTTGCAAGTTGAGACCCAGCACAATCCACCGAGCGCCATCCTTCAATCCATTCTCGAAGCCTGGACTGACACGTCCGACGTCGGACTGCTTGAAACCGTGTTGGGCCTAGTTGCCAGCGCCCAGGATAGACCGGCTGCCAAACGTGCCAGTGAGAGATTGAGACTCACAAGACGAGGCCATACAGTTTGGCTGCAGCAACAAGCAGCTCGGCAGACAACCCTGCAAGCAGCTTGGGCAAGTCTAGGGGCTGTCTCGATGCGGCAACCGCCCCATGCAGAAGACGGCGCTACAGAATCAGTGCGCCGCCAAATCCTGGGACTACAGGCGGCGTGGACGCATCTAGACGCCGCAGCCGTCAAGCAGTTTTTGAGGCTATCATCTGTGACGTGCCTTCGGCCCACATTGCCAACCTGGCAAATACGATTGCTGATATCTATGCGGCTGTGGAACAACATCAGGCACCACAGTCCCTCTTGACGCTCCGTATCAAGCTACGTGAACACCCCCTACCGAACCCAGAGGAGGGCGCAGGGGAGATGGAAGAACCACAGGCGGAAGAGGTTGACGAGCCTCCGGCCCAAAGACCGCGACAAAGGCTGAAGAGAGAACGCAAAGGGCAAGAGCACCAGCGAGCAATGCGGAGACAGCCCAGGAAGCTCACCAAGGCTGAACGCGAGGCGCTGAGGACAATGCCGAAGGGGCTGAGCACCCGCGCAAGCCAAAAGCAACTCATCGCATTCATCACGAACAGCATGGGGATGAATGCAGGGAGTCCAGCACCAGCTCGAGCTCGGAAGAAGGAGCCGCCAACCAGAAGGCAACCAGGTCGGTGCAAGTACAAACCGGCCAGAGGCGGCGGATCCGAGGCAAAGTCCGAGACGACGAGCTTCGTGGGCACTGGGGAGATTTCAAGGCATGGCTGCCGCGAGATGCTGCGGAACGCATTGAGCAGGCTGAGGCCGGCCGCACATGGCGGCGTTTGACCTTGGCAGGGGTTGCTGTGCTGAAAGCACAAGCTGAAGCTGGGCAGCCAGCTGTGGTGACTGTGACCACTGCGCACCAGCATGGCCAGCTGGAGCCAGGCCACCGTCCGGCAGAAAGGGCAGAGCTGACGGAAGCAGCCGCAGTGGACCTTGATGAGACAAACAGTGAGGAGGGTGCCGCCCCAGCTGAGCATGGCGAGTCTTGGCAGGAGCAATACAACGACATGATGAGAGAGGACAGCATGATGATCCGAGCCATGGTGCAGGACGCGGAAATGGCCTCCGCAGAGGAAGCCATGGCAGAAGAAGAACAAGCTGAGGCGGCGGGCTGCCTCCCTACAGATGAGGAAGACACCATGGGCAGCTCTGACTAGGCCTGAGTCCCTACCACGACATCTCCTGAGGTGTGGCTCTAGTTTGCGTGCCATGCATGCCCATGAGCGCTTGCTTTGAACGGCGATTATGCTGACCTCAGTCTTGTCTTTTCCAGTGTTTTGCTTTACAACCGCAGCTGCGTGGGATGCTCAAATTACTTTTGCCGCTTTTGCACCATGTGCGCAGTCGGGACCCCTGATCCTGAAGAAGGTGCCTAGTGGAAGCATCAAGAGCAGGTTCTCTGAGGTTGGGCTCCTGGTTGGTTGTATTCGTTCCCCCTACTGGATAGTAACACCTCCCCTAAACCTGTAACGCGTTCATGCAGTTGAACCATCTCAGCATGAGGAGGCGGTCAGACAACCTAGATGTGCCACTGGGCGACAAGAGTGCATCAAGAGCCTCGTAAAAAGAACTATCAATCATCCCTCCGGGGCTGGGGCTAACTTGT